TTTCAGACAAAAACACAAGGAGTGCATTGGTGTGACACATTTTAGGACAATTACTTTCCAGTCTGTCAGTAAACATCTGTGATAGTGGGTGGATAATTTTTGTCTGCATCCTTTTGGCTTCCTTTCCAAACTCCTCCACCATCCACACTCACTTTATGACCCAGTTTGAAACATGGTGGCCATCATCCGAAACTTGGCCTTATCCAACCTTGACATAACCCAAGGCCTGATACTGTCACCCAGTCTGACCTCATTCAAAATCGACATGGATGAGAAAATACTCTTTTAGCCTAGTGATCTGTAACTTCCTACCCATTCGATCTCTTTGCTTAGACTGGTATATTGCACTCGCTGCTACCTTATTGTGCATTTTTACTGTGGGCTGCTATAGAAAGGAGACACTTGCTAAGAATTTAAAGCTAAACATTTCCTAGGTGAATGCTAGTTTCTTGCAGACATCCTCAAATCAACTTTAATCAATTGGAAACACACAAGCAGACACGGAGAATGAGAATGTGCTATTATTGATCCGATTGTTCAGTCTGGGCTTACTCATTAGCCCAGACTGAACAAATCGTGAAACAAAATAAAAAATAGAAGATTCTAAATTGACAATATGCAGGCATTTTCCTAGGATTTAAACTATACAATTAAGCAACAACCAAACACAAATAGAGTAATTTAAGTGAACAAAGAACATTTTGCATTTGGAAACTGCAATCTTAATGGCAAAGCCTCCAAAGCAGGATCATACACAAATGATTCCATATCACACAGGCACTTGATATTCTCTGTAACTTTAAACCTGACTTAAGAAACCTGTCACTGTCTAAGAATACCATATCACACAATAAAGGGCATGGCACATGGAATGAAGCAGCGTTTATCACACTCCTGTTTCCGTAACACAGCCTTTTTCAGCAGCCTGTGGCCCAGCAAAAGGCCATACCCTTGACCCTTGAGCAACCATATACCTCCTGAACTTCCCCTGCAGTACTTTCATTTCAGCCAACTCTGCTTTCAATAATGGCCAGCCTGGTATTTTGATATTGAGATGGACATGTTGTTGACTGTTCTTTTCATGATGGTATCTGTAGTTATAGCAGGACAAAGAAGGCTTCACAGAAAGGTCAAGTTTAAAGCAGTGCTAGTATGCATCTCAACCGAAATGCATGATATTCACAATAATTGGTGGAATGCATGAGTTGCTGGCATATAAAGGCAGAAAGAGTTATTGCTGTGTAGCAGTACTCAGAGTTATGGTTGACACAGATCAAGGCTGTAC